TGTGCACTAATACTGAATGTTAAATAAACAGTGTTGATATTAAGGCTAAACCATTTAATAAAATAGGGAGAGGTGCTTGTTTCTGTGTTGCTGTACATAATGTACACTCTACATTACACCAGCTTTTGAATTTTTCATCAAAATGACATTGTGAGTAACTTCTACATTCTACATTTTAATTAGGTGATTACTATCAAACTTGATATACATGGTTAATCTGTATGCATAAATGACCTTTCCTCACCCAATGCAGTGATTGTCACCAGTGGCGGCGGTGCAGGGGAAGGGAACAGTCGCCCCCTCGAAAAAATGTTGGGTGTCCCCCCTCCAAAGTCAAGCTGCAACTTTTTGTGTCAGTAAAATTTGCCCCTGAAAATGCAGGAAATAGTTTTTCAGAAGGTCTATATTTCAAAATTGTTAAGGGGGAACATGCCCCCGGACCCCATAGTAAGGTCGTGCCTTCGGCGCAAGGTTGGTGAGCAGACCCCCCCCCCCCACATGCCTCTGGTCCCTGCCCTTTGTAGTCCATTTACCCATATTATACTGTTATCTGCCCCGCATATGTAACGATATCCCCATCTTATGATTGATCTGTCCACCTTTACGAATACAGGGCAAGCCATGTGTAGTTCAACTATGTAATCCTCATATGTACGCAATGGTCACCGTTTGTGTCGGCGCTCTGATAATTTATACTAGTGTGTGGTTAGAATATCGTTGTTATCTGATAACACTGTGTGTAAAACATGCAGGTCGTAGCAAACGTATACATTATGTTTCAAGATTTCCAAAACGGCACTCAGTTAACAGTTACAATGGATAAGAAGTGGCGTTGTTGTTTTTGTTTAAAGAATTAATAAAATTCCACCACAAGCATACATCGTCAATTAAGAACAATGGTTGTCTTTCAAATACAGCCTTAACGTGAGTACAAGAATATCTATTCATGGAATCTGTGTCCAACTCTCACCTGTCTCGCAATTAGATCCAGTGAAGCCATTTTCGCATGTACAGGTGTAATGGTCGATGTGGTCCTGACATGTTCCACCATTTTGACAAGGCTGGCTGTTACAGTGATGACCTGCGTAAATATAAGGTGAAGGACATCTTTATTTATCATCATTTATCTGTCACATGTCCTACCCAGACGATAATAAGAATAATAATATGCATAATTTACAACAACAATCACTTCCTCATATCACGAAATACTCTACAATCGAGAACTTTGCGTATATTCACCTATACAACGTTTGCCATTTCCTTGATAGCCATCGTTACAATGACATCCATGCTCCCCGTTTTTCTCTCCACAGTATGCATTGGGGTCACATCTAATGGCCACACAATCAACTACACCGTCTTTCCGACAAGTGCAATCTTCGTCACATTCGTCCAAAGTTACAGTCTCTTCAAACTGTGCAAAATTACAAAGATTATAAGATAAGAAACAACGTAATCTTCAGCCACCACTTAGTTGGCAATTTAGTGAAGGACTCGAAGTCCATTAATCAATCTAGACAGCTCTGTGCCTCCTCTACTTATATAGCATAGTGATGATAAATAGTTGGATCGGACTTGAAATCTGAAGTATTCAAAAGCACGAATAAACAAACCAGTCCTACCTGAAGATACTTGCCGCCATGTTCACATGGACACTGGTTATCTGGAACACATTCGCCCAAGTTTAATAAGAAACCTTCTTGACAGACACATCCGTCCACTAAACGTCTATCGGGACATTGGTAGTGTGGTGACTGGTCGATACAGGTATCGGGACAAGGCGACGTTGCATGAGTATACACGGTACCATCTTTGCACAAAGCAGCTAAAATAAATATAATTCATTAATCACAATCCGTAACAAACAGATGTGACATACAGGCGAGACCTTCATTTATGTACCCTATATCTAAAACCAGTTCGAGTGTTTTTTTGTTGTCAAACCAAGAGGTGATACGTTAATAAAATATACATACGACATAGGTCGTCTCGTCTCCAGTCGACTGGGATTCTGATGTCGAGACAGACTTGTGCGTACACTTCAGCGTTCATGCACAATCCACTTTTGTCTGGTAATTTAGCACAGAGGTCAAACATGCACGCTGAGAAGAAATCTTCCGGGTCAATGGCATCGTGGCACACGGCAAATGGTCCTGCAATGACACACACAACACATGTATTATGTTCCTAAGTGGTGAGGAACATCATGCCACAACGACTAGACACTGATCTGAAACAATTCGTGATGGTTTAAGTTACTCGTGCTAAAACAATTTTGTGACCAACCATTTGTATCTGTGAACACTGAACACAATTCATGAGCCTCGGTTGCTATGTCTACATCCTTGGCACACGGATTACAACCACCTGCATGGGAATCACATTCTTTTTCGTTAGCCACCCAGGTATTACCAAACATTGCTGCACGATGGGCGTGTTCTATTTCAATCGGCATCTAGAAATGACAATCAAATACGAGCGAAATATACTTTTATACAAGTTTATTACATCTGCGAAGAATCACTGTGTAATTAATTCAAGTAAAAAATGCTGATGTACATCTTTATTTTCTCATATCTGCAAGAGACGATTACTAATCTGGACACGTCAGCTCTTACGCTGACATGAAATGAATGAGTCAATTATCGTAAAACTCTTAGTAATAGAGATGCGTTAACGTGAATTGAATGTGGGAACAGTACTAGTCGTTGAGCATCCCATTGATTTTTCTGGACAATATATTCTCTAATGCAGATTGTAAGCGTATTATAGATGTATTCTGGAACAATGCAGACAATGGGATAATTATACATAAACGATGTTATATTTTGAGTAATAAACAGTACACCTATTAAATGACTGTTGCATTCCTGGACCTGTTCACCATTACCACCAACATGTTAATATTCTAACAGGCAATCAATATGTTATGCCCTGATACTTACTAGTCTTCCTTCAATATCCGTAAAATCGTCTTCTGGGTCATCATTGTAGTTACCACACAATCCTCTTAGTATACCCTTGTATGTACCCGGTGCCTTGACATCGCCATGGTGGTAACCATCCCACCTAACTATAAGACCAAAATCAACGAAAACACTCTGGAAAGAAGAATAACGCACGTTGAATTAGTTGCAGTAGTATTAGAAATGTTGATCGAACCCATTATCAAAACATAAACTGTAACATTATACGTGTTTTATCTTATAACAATACTTACAACGTAGCTTCCAGTATCCCTCACTGCAATCTGTGGAGATACGTTATATGGCAGAGTAACCTGCTCCCCGTTCACTGTAACTTGTTTTCCTCTCATAAGCCGTACTTCCTGTTAAAGGAAAATAATAGTGCTTATACTAGACATCTCTCCTACAAAGTCTGCTTTTTGCATATTGTAAAACACATGTGATCGTATTTAAAACAAATGAAATGTTTTTTTTCACCTCTCCGTAAACTATCACTATCAATTCTTGTGTGACACTTAGAGTCTCATCTCCTGCTTGGAACGCCTCATTGTTTGCCAGGACTCTAAATGACGTCATCTCATACGTAGCACTTTCTGATAAGATGTAAATACAGTCTCCCTGGAAGTCATACTTGACCCCGTCATATGTGATATAATGTGGATCGCCCCAGACATAACATACACTGTATTCTGCCCAAATATAAATTATTAATATTAGTCTTTAATTGACTACTTCTGGTGTGGTCGATATATATTAAAATTAAATATTAACTGCATAAACGCATAGACTAAGTGACGGTGCGTGATACATTACTAAGACAAGGAACGAGTGTGGGTGAATAGTATTGTCATCTCAAATATTATACTCGCCAAATGCAGAGAAAAAAAATTAAAAGCAGCTACTTCTATTTCAGTTTTTTAATTCAATATAACAAACATGAAATAAACGAATGTGTAGTTACGCATAACTCATAGTAAATATTAGACTTAGAAATATGATTAACAGCTTGATATAGACCCACACATCTTCTGAAAACAGAGTGACTGATATCCCCTGTGTTGCCTGATTGATAGCAGTGACTGATATCCCCTGTGTTGCCTGATTGATAGCAGAGTGACTGATATCCCCTGTGTTGCCTGATTGATAGCAGAGTGACTGATATTCCCTGTGTTGCCTGATTGATAGCACTAGTTTACATAGTGCAAATTCTGGAAATATGACTTTTATGACCATTGAGTAACCTAAGGTACTCATTTTACTATTCATACTGTGAAACATTTTGCTAACTTTTTTCAACTAACCTTGTTCACAGTTGTGACCATAAAATCCTTGTGGACAAAGGCAGTCATATCTACCTATACCATCGATACACGTTCCGCCATTTTGACAAGGATCACTGCAACACTCCTCAAGCTCTTTTTCGACAAAAATAAAAAAACGCATAAAATTTAATTGAACGGGTATTTCAATGTTATATACGAATCATTCAAGCATGGTTCCAATAACAGAACAAAAAATCTGTAAAAAAACAATATCACATTACCTGCACAAAATGTTTCTCCACTGGGGTTCCCAAATACCATCATGGCATTGTGTATAACCTTTGCCGTGTCTATCATAACCAACATTGCACTCGAACGTCACTGTAGTGTTAGTTAACACAGGGTAGTCATATTCCTGTACTTGATAACCATTCTCTGGAGCGCCAGGATCACTACACATCGGTTCACATGTAGGAAGCTCACCAAGCCATGTACCATCTTCACCACATATGATTGCTTGTTGTCCTTCCATATCATAACCATCATCACAACAGAATCGTACAACAGTGCCAGACGAAACAGGATATGTGTACTCATCGGCTTGGTGTCCATTCTCTGGTGACCCAGGGTCGTCACATCCACCATTACATTCTGGAATCACATCACTCCATTCACCATTGTTACAAGTTATAGAACTCTCTCCATCCATAAAGTAGTGCTCCTCACATTCAAATGTTACAGTTGTGCCAGAACATACAGGATACTCATAGTTCTCTACCTGCTTACCATCGCTGGGAGTACCTGGGTCTTCACACTCTCTATAGCATTCTGGCAGTGGATCTGTCCAGCTGTGTTCACTGCAGGTGCTCGAATATGACTCAATACACGCATGTGTTACTGGATCATGGAGGTGGTAGCCACTATCGCAAGTAAAGAAGACTTCAGTTCCATCAATCACAGGATAGTTATGACTGCCTTCTTGTCCACCATTATCTGGGGAGCCAGGATCCAAACACAGAGGAGTACAGGTAGGTAGAGGATCACTCCAAACTCCCTCCTCGCAAGTGGATATATCAGATCCAACGAGGGTATGCTTCTCATCACAAACAAATGTAACATTAGTTCCAGAACAAACAGGATAGCAATGATCTTCCACTTGTTGTCCATCTTGTGGTGCACCAGGATTATCACAGTTTGGTCGGCATTCAGGAAGAGGATTTGTCCATGAACCATCGGCACATGTAGTGCTAGAGTTTGTTATGCATTCTCCTGTGATGCTGTTATGCAATGAATACCCTTCATTGCAGGCAAAATAAACTGTAACACCATCACTAACAGGATATTCATGTTGTCCAACTTGATGGCCATTTTCTGGTACCCCCGGATCAACACACAATGGCTCACATGTTGGAGATTCATGGTCCCATGATCCATCTTCACAAGTCAAAGTATCAGAGCCCACCAACTCATGTAATGGGTCACAAGTATATGTTACTTGGGTGCCTGAACATACTGGGAATTCATAGCTCGCTATCGTCTTGCCATCAGTGGGGGTACCTGGGTCTTCACACTCCTTATAGCATTCTGGCAGAGGATCTGTCCAGCTGTGCTCACTGCAAGTAGTCGAATATGATTCAACACACTCGTGTGTTACTGGATCATGGAGGTGGTAGCCATTATCGCAACTAAAGAAGACTTCAGTTCCATCAATCGTAGGATAGTCATAAGTGCCTTCTTGTTCACCATTATCTGGGGAACCAGGATCCAAACACAGAGGAGTACAGGTAGGTAGAGGATCACTCCAAACTCCCTCCTCGCAAGTGGATATATCAGATCCAACGAGGGTATGCTTCTCATCACAAACAAATGTAACATTAGTTCCAGAACAAACAGGATAGCTATGATCTTCCACTTGTTGTCCATCTTGTGGTGCACCAGGATTGTCACAGTTTGGTCGGCATTCAGGAAGAGGATTTGTCCATGAACCATCAGCACATGTAGTGCTAGAGTTTGAAATGCATTCTCCTGTGACGCTGTTATGCAGTGAATACCCTTCATTGCAGGCAAAATAAACTGTAACACCATCATCAACAGGATATTCCTGTTGTCCAACTTGATGGCCATTTTCTGGTACCCCCGGATTTACACACAATGGTTCACAGGTTGGAGATTCATGGTCCCATGATCCATCTTCACAAGTCAAAGTATCAGAGCCCACCAGCTCATGTAATGGGTCACAAGTATATGTTACCCCTGTGCCAGAACATACTGGGTATTCATGCATTTCCTCCTGTTGTCCATCATCTGGAGTTCCTGGATCATCACATTCTAGTCTACAAGATGGTAATGGTTGTGTCCATGAACCGTCTTCACAAACAGTCAGCCATTCATCTACACATTCATCTGTATTTGGGTCATGTAAAGCGTATCCCTCATCGCATTCAAAATACACTTCAGTATCTTCTGGTGCTGGGTAGTCATGATCTCCAATTTGCTCGCCATTTTCAGGATTACCTGGATCAGGGCATAATGGTTCACACACTGGTGTAGGGTTTGACCATTCTCCATCATGACACTGTGTTGAATCAGTTCCATTTAGTTCATAACCAACATTGCATTCATACTCCACAACTGTACCAGTGCAAACAGGATATTCATAGTTATCTTTCTGTTGACCATTTTCTAATGTGCCCGGATCATCACAAGGTTGTTTACAGTGTGGTAGGTCATCACTCCAACTTCCATTTTCACATGTTATGTTTGAATATTGCATACATTCAAAGGTGCCCATATCAAACAACACATAGCCATTATCACAACCAAACTCCACAACAGTACCATCTGAAACTGGATAGTCATGGTCTCCAATTTGATGTCCATTCTTTGGGGCCCCAGGATCTTCACATGTCGGGTTACAACTAGGGATTGGGTGATTCCATTCACCATCCTCGCATGTCAGTATTTCTTCTCCATGAAGTTCATGAGTGTCACTACATACAAATGCAACATCTGTTCCAGAACATACAGGGTATTGAGAATCACCAACCTGGCTTCCATCACTAGGTGTTCCAGGGTCATCGCACTCTGCTTTGCATTCTGGGACAGGATCACTCCAATGTCCATCCAGGCATGTTGTGTTATAATATCCCAAACAGCTTCCTCCATCTGGATGAAATAAATCATATCCTGCATCACAATAATAAACCACTGTGTCTCCTTGAGATGTTGGATATGTTGGATCACCAACCTGTCCACCATTATCAGGTGAACCTGGATTTGTGCACATAATCTGACATTCTGGTGGTGGGGTTGTCCATTCTCCATCTTCACAAGTACTTGATGGTGAACCAATCACTTCATAGAGGTGATCACAAACATAACCAATGACTGTTCCCTCACATACAGGATACTCGTATTCTTCATCTTGTTCTCCATTTTCTGGTTGTCCAGGGTCTTCACAGGTAGGTTGACAGGTTGGCACAGGTTCTGTCCATGTTCCATCTATACACTCACTTACTACTTCATCAAGACATGTTTCGGTATCAGTGTCATAAAGGGCATAACCAGTATCACAATAGAAAGATACTTCTGTCCCATGAGACACTGGGTATTCATAATCTTCATTTTGACCACCATTGGTTGGACTGCCAGGATCAACACACTTTTCTATGGGGTAAATGCAATTTATATATTAATGCTGCCAACATATCAATGGATGTTCAAACACACTAAGTCTAGCAAACAATAGAGAATCATTAAATATAAATAATCGACATGTCCCTTTAACATGCACTACTCACCAATACACTCTAAGCCACTGCCTTCAAAATAGGGTTCATTACATGTGCATTTTCTAATGCCGTCAACAATATCACAAGAAGCATTCTCATCACACTCCATCGGTGTACAAACCATGGTATGATCTTCTGTACACTCGCATATCTCTGTACACCCTGGACCGACAGGGGTGTCGCCAATCTATATCATACATATACATACATATTATTCCCCATCCACTGGCAGTAAATCGTTACTGGATTATGCTGATTCAGTGCATATTACATTTTCAAATCAAAAAACTAATTCTGAAATATATTATACAAATAATGATAATGATTAAATCGACAATTTGTGTATTTTAAATTAGTGCACCTGGTAATATTTCCCGTTCATCTCGCAACCACATTCCGATGGGTCAGTGCATGTGTCATCATTAAGTACAGTACCATTAGGACAGAAACATCCTTCAACACAGTCTGTGATCAGACAATGGTCGCTAGCTTCAGGTTCTATACACGTATCCACGCATGGGTTACCACATTTACGATAAATCATGTCGTTGCCACAGTCCAAGGCTGCACAAAATGATAAGTATGTCTTTGTTAAGTGAAACATTTACAAGATGAAACCCAAGTCCATGGTTAATTTAAATAGAGGTCTGGTAGGCTCTACACAACCAATATGTCAAAATGCCTATGTATATCACAGCATAGCATCTCGGGGTTGGGTGGACAATAGACAAAACAGAAGAAACCCTGACATGAAACTAGTGGTAAGGTATTTTCCTAGTTTGCAAAACTGCTGTTAACTATTGTTTGGTTTTTTTGATTAACAAATGCCATTTTCAAAATAAACAAGTATGAGTTTACAGGTATTACAAAACAGTAACACGTTTCATACAATGCAAAATTCGAGCATATCTCAAAGATAAGAAATAAAGATAAGAGACCTTGAACCTGGCCATTGTATTTATTATTAAATTATTTATATTTTATTTTGATTTGTGTAGGCAATAATATAGTAATAATTTTCTCACGGCAAAAGTCTTCATCTCTCCAGTCACCCACTTCGACTCCTTTTTCTAAACAGTCATTGGAATATGCTTCAATCGAAGGACAGTACTCGTCGGTGGCACAGTAATCGTAAAGACACGAATCATAGTACATTGTCGGATCAATCACGCCATGACAGGCAGCAAACGGGCCTAGAATACGATAGAATGTTATCAGATAAGTGAAGTGCAAGGCAATGTGTGAAATTATTTCATGTTATATATTAATGGCATGGTTCGTCGAAATATAAACGTACCGTTAGGGTCACTTATGACTCCACATTCGTCTAACCCGTATCCTGTTGGGCAGTCCGGGTAGTTATCATACGTTGGGTCGCATACATCATGAGTGGCCCAGCTATCACCAAATTCATTAATATCATCAGTCTGAAGAAAAGATTGACCATTTTTGAAAACATGCTGTTATACTTCATGTAAATCACAAAAATGCATAAGTACGTAAATACAAATATAAAAATACATATAAATATAAATATAAATAAACAATGTGTACCTACCTCTTCGCCACCTGGTTTGAAGTATCCGTCTCTCCCAAAATGTCCACATAATCCATTTGCATTGTATTTATAGGGATCGGCTGGTACTTTGATGACAACATAGTGATAACCATCATAGCTGATGTACAGA